TGCATCCTCAAGTGCCCTACTCCATTTGAATGATTTATCACACTGGCTGCATGTATGCAGCATTTTTCCATTTTCTCCATCAACATAACTCTTCATAGATTCACTGCAAGTACTCTTCTTTGTTTTCTCTTTGATGTTGGTGCGTTTTTTATTTGCAACCTCTTGACAAGTTTTTGATAGATGTGTTGCAACTTGATCATGGTGTGCTGTTTGGTTGTGCTCTGTCAAAGATACATCAGTGCTGAAAAACACTCCACACAAACGGCAAACGTAGTTCCGCCTGCACTTGGCAGCAGCACTGGGTACAGCTGAGACTGTGGGTTTGAAATCAACTGAAGATTTTTGCTGAAAAGTCCTTTTCCTGAGCCACTTCTTCTTACCACTGAGAGAATGATTCATTTGAGAGGCCACTTTGATGTTACAGGCATTGACATTGAAGGTAGACACCTTGATTTTCTGTTGCTTCAGGTAGTCATACCACTCTTTTGAAGACTGGTGGGAATGCCGAATGTGTGCTGCTAAAAACTTGTAATCAGTGAAGATCTTGCTGCACTTTGGACATGGATGTCGCTCTTTATCTGTGAAGAATGACCAACAAAAAAGATGCTAAATAACAAAAACAAAGCACTTCTTACATTGAATTAAAACCTTTTCAAAAATATTGATTAAGTTATCAGTTTGATATTCAAAGATAAATTCTGCCACGAATAAATCCAAATTAGAGCATGAGAATTCCTTTCAATCAGCCTCCTGCTTTTTTAATATCCAATTTACTACACCATATCATTCATAACTAATACATATTTCACCATCTTCGGTCAGTAAGGACAATTCAATGCAGACGAAAATTTAGTGTTAATGACTACTTGGAAGTTGTCAACATGTTTTATCTTAAAAGAAACACTGACATTGCATCCCGTTTCCCTGTTTTAAAAGCACATGAGTAAAACAAATACAAAATCTTTGATCTTTCAAAAGTAGCTTTTAAATATCAAAACTGCCCACTTTTTTCATTTTGGACATCATCAGCTGTAGTCATCACAATTCCTAGCTCAGTGGCGTATTCCTCCCCATAGAATACCAATAACTCCTGGCCTGGGTGGATTGGCTTGAAACTCCTGTAGTAGATCTGGCCACAGTACTGGTAGGCGATGAGGTTCTGCTCTGCTTCGGAACACGCGCAGTTGACGTATCGCATCCAGTTGCCTTTGTTAGGGTTCTTGCCATCCACATAATGGCTTTTTCCACTGTGACCAAAAACCTGTTAAAGAGCACGTTAAAAATGAATAAATACAAAATCACTGTCTTTTGGGAGGCTTGAGTGAATAAGTGCATTGATGATACTTTGAGCTTGTATATCTGTAACTTTTCTTTTCTTGAAGTACTGAAGGTAAATAAGACTGCTGCCTATACCTCCCATGCGTAGCCACTGTCTTGGCCTACATCTTCTCCCACAATCTCTCCTCCATAAGGTCCAAACCTCACACCTTTGGGAAAAGATTTCTCTGCCCAAACCCCCAGACCAGCATTCTCAATCCCGGCTTCTTTGACAACCAATCCCTGGGGAAGACTTTGCTTGGCGTGTTCTCTGCACCCTTTGGGGACCAGAGAGTCTCCAATGATGGTCAATGGGTGCTGCGGACAGTCTTTCTCGTACAGCTCGTGACAATCTTCACAGTCTGTATTTCAATTGAAAATTCACACAAAATAGCAAAACTCAAAAAATCTACCAATCTATCCCAGATCAGCTTACTCCAAAGGTTTCAGTTTTTAAGATTACAGAGAATTAATGGCCCATCCTCAACAAATAATGACTGCTTTTTGGAGGAAATGCTATGGCACACTATCTTGGTACATTTTGAAGGTGGAGTTTTTTTGACATGTTCAAAAATCATAACTGAAAACTATACGGCAACTTACACACATAGCTGTCATCACTGGGCCCATCCAGTTCCTTGTAGCTTTTTGTAGCACCAACTCGTTGAGGGTATCGGCGTTGTGGTTGCTTTGACCTGTCCAAACCTTTACATTTGTTATGGAAAATGAACACCTTTAGAATTTAGGAGGTTTCAACTTTTACCTGTAGACACTAAACACATTCTTTGTGTGGATGCAATGGGAAAACATTCCTGCTCATACATTTTAATCCATCAAACTTGAAATTTAACAACACTTCCTGATTACAAAGCATAAAAATAATGAATTTCTCAATCAAAACAAAAATTACAAAATATCTATCCAGCCTCCCCCAAAAACATTAGTAACCACTTAAAGTAATTTATATTATATGAGACAACAGACAAATGTGCTATACTACCCACAATTATGAGAGTTTACAAAAAAATTGAAATAATGTATCAAAGTGAGGACTTAACTATTTTGCTGGGGGCTTTAATTGGAGCAATCTCCAGATTTCTCATTGACAGACTGATTCAATATACATGTACATTCCCAAGACCCCTCAGTTCCTCAACCTCCCTTGTGTCACACCTGTTTTTTGGCTCGATTTCTTTTTCAGTTCAGGAGGTGTCAGATCAGATTGGGGATTTTCTACTGGTATTAAGTCACCGTCATCGTTGATTGTCACACGACCAAGGTAGTCAAAAGTGTCTTCATCATCTCTTTGCTTGGGTGCTTTTGAAGAGGGACCCTGTTTCAAATAAAGGTGGGACAAATTGAATGAACAGCAAGTTTACATTACATTGATTTATTTATTAAGAGTATGATACATTTATAAACATGTGCTTTTAACATATAGGAAAAGGTTCTAAGGTTTTATACGGCTAGAGCAGAAGCAATGTGACAGGCTGGTTCCAATAGACACTGCAATTCAAATTTAGACTTTAAAATACGACAGAAAAGACCAGAGTGAAGGTTTGTGTCCTAGTGTTTCCACTGAAGGTCCTTAATTTCTGCAATTGTCATTTAAGTGCCCTTTCCTGACAAAGTGATTTAAATTCCATCTTCATCCTTGACGGAAATCAATTACACAATTTCTTACAACTAGTTATGCTGGAACTTTGAGCTAGACACAAACCTTAGATTTCTCGAAGATGGAGCCCAGTTTCTTCTGCTTCTTCACTGGAACAGAAAATGCCCTCTTTTTCCGACACAATGGGAGTCCTGTCAAAACAATTTCAAGCTACTTAAGTATTTTGCCTTTACACTTACATTCCTGCAAATAAAATTCATTTCATGAGGTTGAGCTGGTCAAACAAGCCCAGAACCTCATAAGCATGTTTTTCTTCTAATCCACTTAACATCTTTTTTAGTGAAGAACTTACAATTTACAAATAAAATACCAGTAACAGAAGCCTCTCTTTTCACATTTCAATCAGTACACAATCCTGTTTTTCTTTGGACTGAATACCTCCTGGTGTCCATTCTTCATCACTGTCACTTGAATCCACGTATTTTGGCTTTCTCTTGCGAAATGGCCCATTCATGAACTCTGGCATAGGTACCTTCAGTCCTGAGAACAGATCACGACAAAAAAATGCAATGGACTATCAGAGTGTGACATCATCCCAGTGAACGCCATACAAACGAACGGAGTAGGCACGCGCATTGTCTCACACATGCTGGTTCTTCCGCAAATGCATTTACACACATTATTGTGCTTGTTACATATTCACTTCGGCACTTTATAGATTCCGATGATCTTCTGGAAAATTCACTTATATTGATAAACATACAGAACTTTTCAGCCAAACTTATTTGAATCAATCTGTATTCGGACACTTCTGCTATAAAGGTGATGAGCAAGTTTGGCAGTAAAGTTGAGGAATAAACGTTTTTGGCACACCATCACTTCAAAGGCTAATAAGGAAACACTGCAATCTAATTCATTCCAAAGGAACAACATTTTTCAGAAATACATATGAACCTCAAGTCCTTTCATTTTTGGTGAAAAGTCAGACACTGAAATGAAAATCTTTGCAAACTCTGTACTGTCCGTTGAAAAGTGGAACTCACCAATTTCTGTCATCATGTCATAATTTTCTTTGATGTTTCTCAGTCTCAGCTTCTCATATTCTGACAGTTCTTTGTACTGAGCAGCTGTGAAGAATGGCTCAATGTCATCTTCAGTCTTCTTCTTTGACACTGCCATGATGAGAAATATTTCTCCCTCAAGATCAGCAGGGGGAAATGGCCCAGGGATGAGTGTCTCAAGTACCTACAATGAAACAGTAATTTAATTACGATGTGCCACCATATATTTGCAGTTTGACAATTTGTAGTACTAGAATGGCTTACATCAGAATAAACAAGGAATACCGTATTAGCATCAACATGACAAATGTTCTTGTTATATTTTTATGTTATATTTTATATATATTTTTATATTTTATAGTATGCTAAAATCTTCTTATCTTTTTTGAATAGAGGCAGATTCTTTTTCTTTTCTACAGAGTGGATTTCTTTTCCAGAGAGGGCAGATCTCTGAATTCTTTTGCTCATACTTTGTGTCTAAATTGATGAAGCTTACTTAGCCCCATCTTTCTGTAACAAAAACCTGGCTGGCATTCAACATGATAAGACACTATTCTAGAGAGTCTAATTTACTGTGTCCAAAATTGTCAGTGTATTAATTCTGCGGTAACTCAGCAGCTAGCTCAACGGCAGTGGAACGGTTTTAAAAGGGGGCCAAGCCCCAGCCATTATACTGAAAAGAACACACTTATGAAGTTGCAATGTACCTCCAACAGCTCGTAAGCTGATCTAAATTGGGGGGGAGCAAAATAACTAACTTTTCAAAGGTGGGGGGGGGAATGGCCCCCTCTTCTGCTGCTAGTGAGCTAGCTGTAACTTAATGTGAGTTCGGACTTCACAGGACACCTCTGAGTTCTACATCACAAGTGGTACGGTACAGTGGACTATATGATTTGTACCTTTCCAAGAAATAACCAACCAAATGTTTCAAAACGTATAGGCCTAAAAGTCTAGGGTGGTAGCTAGGTTTATTCTAAAGTTGGTTCCCACAGTAGGCTCAGGGCTGGTTCATACTCACTGCATATGCACACACGTAGCACGTAATATCATGAATGCCGCATTTGACGTTCATACTTTCATGTTTTCTCAAGTCTCGGCTGCGTGTGGGTATACAACAAAAGTTAAATTTTTCTAATTAGTCCGAATACGCATAGGCCTACATTTGGTGCATATGCACTATCCATTATTTTCACAAACTGCGTGTAAAGGTGCGTATTTTCATTACACACTGCGCTTTCGTTCAGGCACTGCAGCCGCCTCAAAATAGACCTTCGCATTGCGTACATAGTGAATACGCAGCAAGTATGAACTGGCCTAAATGTCCAGTAAAATTATTCTTCTTACACAGTATGCTATTGGCTCTTTTCAATGAAGAAAGTGATGAAAAATATCAGTTCAAAACATGTGTTAATGGCACACTTGTTACAAGATTCAACACCGAGGCTAACAAGTTAATGAATGAAGTTCCACCCTGTAGTTTTGCTTGGATTTATGGGTTCCTGTGACTCTTGACAAACTGTCCAACGTGTCACTGTGTGCGTCGGAAGTCTTGGCAAAATTCTTTTCTAGTAGTAGGCCTAGCCTAGGCCCTAGTACTGGGCATGATGCGACATAGGCCTAATTTTCTGAAAACAACATTTGTACAGCAAGCCTAGGCCTAAATTCCTTTTTAGGTAGGGCCTAGGCTCCAGGGCTACCTTTGAAAACAACACTGTCCAGCTGTCTGAAATTGAAAAACATGAAAATGAAAGCTCTGGGATGCAACGGCCGGCTCTGCATGACAGTTACTCTCAATGGAAAACTTGATTGAAAAAGCAGAGTTTGCGTCACCGGATCATTCAGCCTACCCTATCTCAACAAATTGATTCAAAAAGGCCTAGGACCTAGGCCTAGGTCCTAAGCCCATGCTAGGCCTAACGTTACGTCCTAGCGTTTGGACAGGACCTACGTCTACCACTCAGTACCAGTCTAGGCCAAGACTACACAGTCAAGCGTCGATCTTGTTCATTGTGTTATTTGTTAACGCTTTAGGCTTCCTACCTCAATAACAAACTGTTCCTCTAACTGCTGATTGGAGCTGAACTGAGCATCGGTAAATACAAAGAAATAGGCCTAAGTTTTGAAAGTTGGAAATGACCAGCTAGGCCTAATAAGTATAAGCTTAGCCCAAGGTACAAACGTACGTCGACACACGTACACTACATATACTGCACCTGTAGTGTACTGTACTCGCCGCACGCGTACGTACGTACGTACGCACGCACGTACTGTGTGTACGTACGTACCGTACCACGCGCCGATATCGTGAACCCAACTTGAAGTTTCCGCGCCTTTCCAAATCTACATTGTACAAGTAGATGATGTTGCATAAATCTTTACATTGTATTACGATTGAAAATTCACTTCAAACTGCTCGTCTGAAAACCATAGTAAATGATGTCGTCTGCTGCTGTACTTGTAAAGTTTGGTTCAAAGCGCCATTTTCCCTAATTGACCGAGCTCCCGTGGCTGCCAATTAAACACGGTGCCGGAATTTCGGTTACATTGTAAGACCTAAGGATATAAGATTTCAATAAACTTTTCGGTCCAATTAAATCTTCAGGGGTACGTCGTGAGGGTCCCTCTGAAGCGAACATCAGTTTCGTGCAATACAATATGTGATATTTCGATTTACGTCAATCTGCACAATTTCCACGGCGGACACTGACAGACCCATTGGGAGATTCACCACCTGAAGTTGATGTGTGTAACACGGTCCAAGAATTACTTGGAAATGTTAGGGAGATAGGTTTTGGGTACTGGATTTTACGAAGGAGGTAACCCTGAATAAAAGACTGAAACGATCTTCAGTAAATGGTATCACAACAGCGGCGTATTCAGCTTTTTTGGTGTCGGGGGCCAGAGGCCAAATTCAAAAGCAAAAGCGGCTTTCGCACTCATTCGTCATGTTGGGAAGAATGATTAAAAACTCAAAAGGTTTTTCTCTCGGTCTGGATATCCTTGCTTTTATTTGTTGGTGTTTTCTCAGGGGTTTTTAATGCTAATATTGATAAATAAATATACCGATTACTTTTTTTTCTTCTCATATATGAAGTATTCTTTGTAAATAAAAACTTTCCGAACGGCAAGCCCCCCCTCCCCCGCTGGATACACCACTGTACAGGCAGAAACTCTCTGTTCATCAACATTTCTAAGTCGCAAGATTTATTGGGTCCTACACAGGTTTATAAGAAATAAAATTACTACAAGCTGTACCAGGTGAAAACATTTAAACATGGTAAAACCAGTATACTTCAGAAACGAGTACATCCAGTGTTCTAATTATTGAAATTAACAAAAACATCCGTGACACCTGAAAGTCATGAATTGACAATATTCTGGAAACATGTTTAAGCTTCAAACCAAGAGTAAATTTTGTTCCGTTCATGTGATGAATATCACAAACATTCATTAAGTTCAAATAAAAGCGCACTGAACCCATTTTACTCCATCATCAGAAATACAAGTGCTAAAAATCTTATAAAGACCGCGCTGCTTCAATTTGTTGTTCCCCTGAATAGTAATAAAAATTATCAAAGAGGCTGAAAAATGTATTCACTTTTAATGGAATGTGTAAAAATTCAACCACAAGCTGTCTGTCTACATGGATGTGTGCCTCACATGTACACTACATTTGAGAGTAGTTGCACTTTTGATAAATTGCAACATTTTACAGTATCAATATAATTTACCAGTTTTGTCCAGTTTTTCAGCTGCTTCGTACCGTCCATAAAAACTGTCTCTCACAAACTATGTATTCAAATATAAAAATGTGATCTTGGCCAAAACTTCTGATAGAAAAGAAACCAAATGAAACACACGGCACTGGCTGGTTTTATACTCAAGTGAAAGTAAATTCCTACACTTTGCTACAATTAAAAAAGTACAAATACTCCTTATATGTAAAATTGATCCTAAAAATCAATCCTCACCAACTCATCTATGCCAGCAATGCTTTCTAAACTACTTTTTTTTGTTTTATAAGGCACTCCGTAAAATACCACAAAAATAGAACTGCAACATAAAACACATACTAGGAATAAAAACATTCTTCCCAAACTGAAATCTTGACTCATAAAGCAAAGAACCTTAAACCAAATATTCCTTCCAATCAAGATATATGTGAAATTGGTAAAATTAAGGAGCATTTCATTAAAAGCCACACTTGACTAACAAAACTCTACAGAGGACTTCGTAACAATAAAACAAAAGATCCCAAACAAACACAAAATCTGAACAGTTGCGTAGGGTATATTAAAAATCCAACCTAAAATACATTTACTGAGCAAACTTGATGTAGCGCTAGACTAAGAAAACGGAAATAAGGGAAATTTACCATTACACAAAATACCACCTCAGTTCACTGCATAAATGTTGTTGAGTTTGGACAAAATTTCAGAACACCTCAAAATGAAGTAAATGTTCAGCATACAGAAAAGCCAGTGATTGATCACGAGGATGACAACTGGGCGTATGCTTTTTATAAACACTTTAACAACTTCTAAAAATCCTATCTCAGAAGGAAATAAAAATTTCATTCATTTTGACTGACAACTTTTCAGTTCTCATTCCTAGAATAGCATTCTAAAAAATTCATGTTCGAGGGTGGTGGTAAAAAAGGGTCCCAGATAAAAATCACAAGTCCCTGTGAAAAGTATAATCTTCAAGCATCACAAGATTGTAAAATATGAAGCATTCAAAAATCACTCTTGTATAATCACTCTCTGTAGAAACTGAAACAGTTACTTCGAAGACACCATTCCTGGTAGTGTACAAGTGGTAGCAGGAAGGGGAGAGAGGTGGGGAAACCCTCAACCAAGTTGGCACTTAAGCACTCTTGACATTCAGAGTGACGTGGGCCTTAATACCGCTCAGCTGGGAGGAAGTGAAGCTGACGATGAGGTCGCAAGCACCGACACCCTTAGGGATCAGAGGCACTCTTTGGGTCATCCGACCATTCACTGGGATATGTCTGTCATGACCAAAAAAGAACGTATAAAAAGCGCAGGTTAAACAGAGAGACTGTCTGACATACCTGATGACTGCACAGACAGCAGATATCTGCCCTAATAACATGGGTCTGTGTATGAAACTTTGATCACTTCTCAGCAAATTATTATCCCCATGGTAACTTAGAAAATATTGCTGATCATGATAAGAATAAAACAAAGATTTGTTTCTCATAGAAAAAATACAATCAGAGAAATACTCACTGGTTTCTGTTTGCACTGCAAACATCATAGATTAATTTGCATCTCAAAGAAAATAAATTCTTGTGTGTGCTTTTATCCTTGTTATTTTTACAAAAATAATGGAGGAGTTTATTATGCCTATTTAGATTTAAAATGGGGAAAAAATGCATGAAGAACACAATCAAATTCAACACAAAGGGTCCGTTAAAACTTACGGTGCCTTAATGCGTTTAGCGCCTTCCATGATGGATCCCTCCATCAAAATGCTGCAGTCAGTCAATGGGTACGGAAGTGGGTTGGTCAAGGATATAACTGTAGTCAAGGACTTGCCACGAACTCTTAGTCCCTCTGTCTGCATGGACAAAAATTGGAAGAAATATCTAAGCAGGGTAGTGTACGATTCAGGAACAAAGTAAGCTTATTAAATTTAATACAGACAAACAACTCTTTAATTCAAATAGGCCCATGTTCCATTTTTGATTGTTTTCTTCCAACTATTTAAGTGGAGGGAAATGATCAGTTTCCTTTGCATTGCATTGCTCCCACTGCATGTAAATGGATGAATAATTCTTACTTTGAAACATTTTTTTCTGTGCATTTGCATCTCAAACTAAACCATGAGTAGAAATTTATAATAACCAGGAACACCATCAAGTACAGTGGGACGTTACTGTAAAAAACATTAGCATTTGTTCGTTATAGCAATTTCAGTTACGGATGTGCACGCATCCGTTCCAAGTGCTAATCCACATTCAAACATGTGCTGGTATGCCCCACAAAGTGCTTTGGTTTAAGGATTTGGGGCAAAGCCTACACGAAAAAGGGTGAAAACACCCCTAAAAGAAAGAAAATTCCTGCATTTTTTATTATGTTAATCTCCTTTCATGTTTCACCCTGGGGGTAGTCATCACTAGAAGAGCTGTGAAAAGAAATCAAGTTTTCCTGGAGTCACCTCTTTAAACCGTAATACCTGTTAGAAATGTTTAGTAACGTACCAAATGTTTAGTATAGCGGTGTTCATTATAGCAATGTTCCACTGTATTTTAGTTGATTTCATGGGTATATTTGTCACATTAAATCTGTATTTTTCTTTTCTTTAATCAGATTATTTTTATGTATATGTTTTCCCTACAGGTGAATAAAAGTACCCAGTGGAAACCAGTCTTTCTGTATTTTATTACCTTAATTTTTATTGGTTAGTAGTTAAGGCCTAATGGATGTTCAACATACCCGAATTTCACTATGGGGTGTTTTCCTCGTGGAACGAGTCCCACCTGCACCATATAACGATGGGTATGTGTAATGGTTGAGAGGTTAAGTGTGTACAAGGAATGTGTCTTTGTGTTCGGTGCCATGGTTAGATAGCAGTGACATTCTTGCCAGTTTTTTTTGGGGGGTGCAGTCCAGTCAGTTGAGACCAGAGCTTGATGGCAGAAGGGTCATGATTTTTCAAAACCATCAAACAGAATATGACTTTCAAACTTAATCCAGTGTATCAGTGACAGAATTGTTGAGTTTGATCTACATCCTTTTACAAACAGAAACCTGTCCATCATTTCATTCTGATAATGCTGCTTCACCATGGCATGTAAATATGAACTTTGAAGATCAATTTTTGGTATCGTCTTCAAGAATCTGAGGGGTGGTGTAACTGCTGTGTCCTTGTGGCCGGATAGTGGAGCATTGCACAGTGTACAGAGTGAGGGTCTGCCTGAGCATCAACGTTATTCAGAACTGTGCTTAACTTTTGATACCTTAAGAACATTTTGAAATCATTAACATGTTGTTTAAACAACTTGCAAAGTTGAATGATTAAGTGTACAAAGTTACTAGATACAGACATCTCAAAAGCTGAATTTCAAGTTGGTCTGAGATTAAGGATTTTGGAGATGAACTTCAGAACTGAATTTTGTGAGAAAGAAGTGAATTGATATCTGTGTTATCGTCGAAATGCAGACATTTGGGAATACATGTAGTTGAAAGTTAACCTAAGTTGGAAATTGAAGCAAGTGGATTGTATGTTAAATAATGGTTATGGTTACTCTGTGTTAAAATTTCAAAACAGCTTTAATTTCCCAACTATCTAAGAACAAGTAAATTTGGGTTGGGAAAGGTCACGTTAAAATTTTACGGAGGAACGGATAATTAGAAACTGTGCAATTACATTGAATCTTAATCCAAGAGTGCACCCACAATTTTTGTGAACTGAACATATTTGTTTTAAAAACCTAATTTTTTTGGGGGGGGTGGATTTGGTGGAAATAAGTTCATTTAAAGTGTACACAGATTAAAGAGAATTGCCAAGTGATGTCTCATATATGTCATGGGAGTGTATGGCATATTTCTTAACATCAGTTTGTCTGACAGTCACCAAAAATAACTGTGTGACAATAGTGTCCCCTTTTCCATTATTGAGGTAAGGTGCCAAACAAACACCTACAGATTTTGCACAAATCAGTATTCACTGGAAAAAATATTCCCAGCTCAATCATGGATATCCAAATACTAAAATGTTTCATTCTTGTTAACTGTTACGGCAAACTGTATTGTTGGAATTGTCACAGATGTGTTTGTGCATTTTAGATCAATCACACTTATCTACTTTCAACATCATAAGAAAGCAATGGTCACACTTGATGGTCACAAATGAAAACCTACCGTGACATCCAGGTCGGGTTTATCAAGGACACAGTCATACTGCCTGCTGAAAGGCTGCTTGGTTTCCTTGACGGAAGCCATGATGAAGAAGGACACCCCAGCATAATCGGTCAACTGCGGCAAGTATTCAGATGCAGGCACGGTCACTGGGACCACTTTCGCTGGAATACAAAATGACCCAAAACATTTTTCCAAGTTCTGGCATTAGAAATATTTTCAATATCTGTTGAGAAATGTGAAGCTGTCCATACAACACTGTTAGGAGCAAACTGCAGTCAAGCTTTTCTGAAGTTTGCAAAGGCTACAGTAAAGCAGCCACGGAAAGGCTGGTAGTCCGACACTTCTAACTGAAATCAATTAATCAATTGGAGAGACAAAGATTTGATTGAGGGCTGGGGTGGGACTTGGTAGCCCCCTAATATATAAAGCTGTACATTCCCAATAAGCCTTTTGCAAGTTAAATTTGAATAAAATCTGGTACATTGATTTCTTTAAATTCACGTGAACATAACAATTTGAATTCTGCATACTAAAACCACTGTTGCTATACCTCGTGATCCAGGGCAAACTTGTGCTTAGTTACAGAAGAGACGCCTTGCAACAGTACACTATTCTCAATGGATAAGGACACAAAGGAACCAGTCCATTCCAGAGATAGTGGTCGGTATGCAAAAGCTTGCCCCGAATCACGAGGTAGAGCAACAGTGTCTTTAGCCTTGTCTTTAGTCTGGGGAATTCAAATCACTGTGTTTATGTTTAATCAGATAACTCTGGTACACTGACAGCGTACCAGATTTTCTTCAAATTTAACTTGCAAATGGCTTATTGCCAAGAAACTTGTCTTTTTAAAGTATTTTTAAATCAATAATGAAAGCTGAATTGTGTAAAGTTTTTTAGGTTATTCCATCCTACATTATGCTGGTGCCCTCCCCAAAAAAGGATGGTGGCTGTGCTACTACTGTGAGACAACAAGGTGTTGTCTCCATGGAATGAGGGATGAAGCTTACTCCACACTGACACCAATAATTTTCAAAATCAGCTTCCTCTCAGGCAGCATGATGCCCAACATTCACTCCAGAAATCAGACAGCAATGTGACAACTTTTGGGCCTCAATTGGACGATCTGTCTCTGTTCCTGTCAAAAGGCTGGAACTGAGGAGACAACTGAGGAACTGATGTGAGCCTCTGCAGAGGTCCTTACATTCTTTGCCCTTGAGAGTCAGTACCCCATTGTAGGATGAAACCTTGGCCTTCTTGACTCCTGTGTAATACACACTGTTCCCTGTCACAGCCAAAAACACAGAGCGTGCCTGTAAAAAAGTCAAGTACAGATACACCCATTAATTACCAAGCTGACAGATGCCTGGCAGAGCCATATTCATGTCCACGTACAAAGAGATAATTTATTTTTCCATTCCATTTTAAATGAAGCACATACAAAACATTAGTTACCACCTGGCATGAACTTCTTGTGTGCTACAGCAAACTAACTGTATAAATACAAGAGGACATATCTCTACACAAAATGTTTCAATCCAAATTTATAATTTGCAGCATAATGATAACTTTAAGTTCTCCTAAGCGAGCTCTAAGAAACTGCTTTGAGCAATTCTGGCAACAGCTTTGCCAGTGAAGCACAAGGTCCCGTTTTTAATCAAAATCTAGATCCCCTTAATGGAAAACTTCATTATAAGTCTACAGTTCCAGTAACTGATGACCCAATCATCTCACCTGTTGTGCTTTGTTCACCAAGGTGATGGTAAACTTGATGTCTTTCCCGATGGGGAACTGCTCCGCCATGTCCACATCAAAGACAACATCTCGAGTGAGGTTCTTGAGAATTCTCTTGGCCTTGCGGACATGACTACTGGCCTCCCTAACAGCAATGCGCTCCAACTCCGAACCTGAAACAAGTTTTTCAGGGATAATGGGAGACTGAGACATTGGTGGCAGCAGACATACTGGTCCTTTTTCAAGGTATTGCACATGCTCAGAACTATCCACGCATGCTCAGAACAACATCTGCATGCTCAAAAGTGGTAAAAAGGACCATTTGTCTTTGTTACCACCAAGCGTCTCAAAGTCTCCCATTAATATTCTCCACATTTCATTCAAATTACTCTCCCCAAGTAAGGATTTTTCACTGATGTAAGACAATACCAACCACCAAGCAAAGTTCTCTGTGAAGATAGACAACTTTCAGATCAATCAAAAATAAAAACTGGCAAACTGTCCACAAACCTTCCTTGTACTTGTACTGCAAGGTGATATCTTCACGCTCAAATTTCCCAACAGCTTTCGTGCTGATTTTGCATCCAACATCATCTGAGTCAATATCTATGACCTCTGGAGCCTGGTAAAAAAAAGATTCAGCGTAAAATGCGGAGGCAAAAATTGAGGAAGTAACCTAATTTACAACTACTGCACAATTAATTTGCTGGATTCTTCAGTGACAACCCACAGTCTACACCAAGAGACCAACTGTGCTTGCTACGTCACGTGACCTATACTGCAGTGTTGTAGTCGATTACTTTCTGAGTACCAACGTTCTCCGCAACTGGGTAAGAGGGAATAAGGCCAGAGTGCACAGGCATTTGATGGTAAATGCGCAAAGGTATGATTACAAAATAAATGTTAGACTTCAGACACTCCCAGTTGTGTAAAATTTAAGTTTTAAGGAGAAAAGTACTTGGAAAGTACTCGGCCTAGACAGTTAATTTTAATCAAACAGTGATGGTCTGAAGTCATTATGTTGCTTTGTAATTGTAGGGATCTGGGAATTCCCCATCTAATTTAGCGAATTGTGTGACCTTTGAACCTTTTGCACGTCTTCAAGACGTGATTGGGCCTACATGCTTAGAATGTACATGTACAGTACAACTATTTTCTGTAAGTCTTGCCTTTCGGCCAGAAGTGGCCTACAATGTGATACTTTTTTCGGCACAGAAGTCGGGCGGGTTTCCAAGGTTTTTTCGGGAGAGCAGGGAGTGCTGTGCGAGACGAATGGGTGCGTAGACGTCGTGATGGCTCGGCCGGGAATCACACAGATTAGCACCGGTTTAATTGTCCAAGCAGTTGTGATTATAGTGATGGCGAAGCAAAAGAAATCCAGCCTGCTCGAATACCCAAGTCTTTCAGTACCTGCTGAACTTTCTTTTTGCCTGCCTGGCCTCTAATTCCCCCTTCAGTGGCGGACAGACCGCTGCCCCCGAGCGATTGGCCGGGGGCCGGACCGCTACATAATCTTACCTTTATGCATGTACCANTTGGTCTCAAAAAGTATTTGACTACATCACTGGTATACCTGGTATCAAACATCTACAAACATGGCGTCCACCCATAGCAAAGTGTGTTTTAAGTGTTGTTTACCAAAAATGAGGCCAAGTTTCGGTATAGTACTCAGCACAACAGTAGTCCGAGTACAGTACCAACCGTTGGTAAATGACACACTCTGCTATGGAAGGACTCTATGATTGTATGATATCCACTACAGGTCACATGACTTAACGGGCATAATCCACACAGTGTTCCATGATCCCCCAGACCAAGGCTGTACCTTTCTGGATTTAGTGAAGACCTTCCAGTAGACCTTTTCAGCATTGACCTCTGCAAAGGAGAACTTGGTGTCGTAGTTTAGGTGCACGTGACCCTGCTTTATGGCACGCAAGGAAGAGGGACCCATGCAGAACACCCCTGACACAGATATGAAGTCAAGAAAGGAATCATTATTGAAGCAAGCTCTGTTAAATTGTAAGTCATAACAGGACAAAAACCAGTTTGCCAGTGCAGTACATTTGGATACGAATTCCGTGCATTATTCGTAGTATTTTGAGAATGTTATGAAGTGCCTCTGGCCAGGGCCCAATTTTACAGTGCTGCTTACCGCAGAATTCCGCAGTTACAATCTCCATTCTGTGCTAACCGTGCTAACAGGAAAATTCTGCACTGACATTTTAAGCAGAGAATCCTTAGTAACAGGGTGTACCTACGTGCACAAGCATAAATTCCTTGCTAACCCGAGACATGAGTTCACCGTAACCACAGAATCTTCTGCTATGGTAAGTGCCAATTTTTGCTCGTGGTAAGCAGCGGTAAATTGGGCCTAGGGTACACCGATCCAGTCACAGCAAGATGTACTGTAAAACAGAACTAGCATCTATTCCCCAAATCTTTTTTTACTGTTCAACTTGGATAACACTGAGGATACAGTGTTTATAAAAAGGACTAAATAAAATTTTCCATCTACCTGATACAAAAATTATATGTCTTTGAGCTTAAATTTTAGTGTAAGGAGGCAGAAATCAAAGAACCCTTTTATTCTAAAGATAAGATGCCCTTCCATCAGGCAAAATTTGGAGTAACAAAAGTATACTACCCTGTGTAAAATACGCTTCACTCAACAACTTTCTGAAGGCCAGGTGTCTATTTGTGACCCGGTACATCGTAATCAGGAAAAAGTCACCGAGGCCATTTTACATAATGGCCAAGTAAAGTCAGGATGCGTGTAAATGTTGAAAAAAAACAATGTGGCGGTTTCTGTATATTTTGGAAGTGTACGTATGAAAGGTTACCATCAACACACTTGTGATGTGTACCATTTGAAAGCTTATGAAATTCTCTTTCTGACCATGTACATATATTTATACGAAAATGTCAGTTTGAGACCTATTCTTGATTTTGATGTACTGGGTCACATTTTAGGTTGCCTTGTAGGCTACAGAAACAAACACATGAGAATGCCCTTGAAGGGTACAGATGAAGATGACCTTTCTCACCATTGCTGGTCTCCTGTGGTGTGGCATCCACAGCTTGCCAGCCCCCGTAACCTTCTTCAAGGTCTGGCCTAGCCATCCAGCAGTCGTTCCACACGTGGAAATTCCTTCCCAAAACAAAAAAGCAGGAGGATTTCTTTGCTACTTTTCATTGGAAGACTAATCCAACACCAACAAATCTTTGTTAACGACTCCATTCTTCTTGCTAAACCAATTCAGTAAAAACAAAAATTAGTTCTATTTGTGAAAAGTCTGGAGGGGATGTCCTGCAGTTTTATGTGGTTCAAGTTTTTCTGAGATTTAAAGATTTTGCAAATTCCTGCAAAACTGTATTAAAAATGGGACTTCCATGTTATCTCTAAGCATTTCTTAAATGTAGGCCTATGTTTGACATTTCTCTCACCTTTAGTTTCAAACATAGACCTTCAGTGCTATCAGAGCAAAATGCAACCGTACCATTTAAAAATATTTCTGAATGAAACACTAAATGGATCATTTGCATTTCTGTCAAGGAACAATCTAAACAGAAATGGCATGCAAGTTTTCCAGCCTTGGCAGTGTAAATATGCATAGCGTCAGGCCTGCGCCAAAACACGATGTTGAAAAGATCATGACAGATATCCATACCAGATGCTGTCTTCATCATAGTCATCCAGTGGCTCTGAATTCTCATCATAGTGATAGTCCAGAGTCAGGTTGCCATCCGTGTCATGGGCAGACGCAAAGTTGGTGATAGTCCTTGTGGGTAAACCGAGACTCCTCAACACTGGACAAAGACGTTAACAAACAACTCACACAATTACTGAGGAGAAATGCTGGCCTTTGAAGTTGTATTAGCTGAAACAAAAACTGAGAAGTTGTCACGTATTCTTATTGAGTTGAACAATATTAATAATAGAGTATCTGAAACAACACGCACGTCCAGTCAGGAGGCTGCCAAACACCCAGCACTGGCCATACTTGACAGACTCCTGAGTCTTCATGTACTGGGACAGGATGGCCACACTGCCAGTCCAGAAAGTAGGTGCGATCCCGTCATCATATTCCCCATCCCATCTGCCAAACAGCACCCCATCATCATCCTGGGCATTGACCTATCAACATATCAAAGATGAACAAAAATCAGACACAAGACTTAATGGGACAGCCGAGTTAGATCCTCTGACACACCGTGTGCACTGTGCAGAGTGTCCTCTTGAGGTCTGGGCGTGATAGAATCTGGTGTTTTCAGCAGTAGGTTCAGTTACTGCTTATTGTTTTTTATGACATTATCGACAACGGTAGCCAACAATACAACTTATATTATAGACATTCTGGTATCAAATGGTGGCGGGTCTCAGGCACTGGCGGAGGAAGTGGGGGGGGCCAGAGGGTCAGTGCCCCCCCTTTTTTTCCAACTGGGGGTCCTGTAATGGGGTGGGGCTCAATGGATCAACCTATTAATGGCTGATGCCTGTTGGTCTAATAACTGCCCCCCCTTGAAAATCATTCCGCAGCCAGTGTTCAAGAGAAACATATGACATCGATGCAAAGGAACTACAAACAACATATCTTCACGACATCTCAATACAAATGAAGCTAAGCTGTCCTTTTTTATTTCAAGTGAGGTTAAAGAAGAACATTACAGGGTATGCCATTTATTTTTAAACAGCTTCAGTACAGAATGCTCTGTACAGCCGACACTTACCAAGGCAGACATAACTCTTGAGACCTGGATGGGGCTCTTACGACTAGAGTCAGGCATGCCTGACTTTTGCAGCAAATACAAGGCACAATCCAAAGACACTTTCTCAAACTACAGGCAAGAAGAAAAACAATACGTACGGTGAACATTTACTTCAGGGTTAGAAATTCAGATAATTAGAAGTCTTAATTCGACTCTATTTCAATCACTGGAGATATACATTCAAAGTATTTATGATATGAGTGTGATCTTCAAAACAATTGACAATTTTTCACATCTGTGTATACACACAATTTTCTTTTCCAATAAGTTTTAATGTTTTGCAAGAGGAATTTTAAAGTCATGATGAGAGGAAAGAGCCGCAGACCAAGTGTCCAAAAACATTTAAATTCCAAGTTTTTAAAATCCAAGAGCAATTTTTCACTGTCCTGCATGGGTCATGTTGGGCAACCAATGTGATATTCATTCAAATTCAAGAACAATGCAAGCAGAGGAAAAAAAATGACAAATGACACAATTTTTATGAAAGTTCATTGTAAAAGCATACCATTTCAGAAGCACAAAACCTATGCAATTTGGATACCTCTGATTTTCAGTTCAGAGCAATCTTTGACACCCAAAACTTTCAGTACTGGCCCATCAACTTATGGCTTTCAACCTGGGCCAATTTCAATGCTTACTGCAAGTGAAAAATATTTCACAAGTTAGCGAGGAATTTCGGCTTGTGTACATACGTACATCCTGCAACTAAAGATTCTGTGCATGGTTAGCGCAGAAAGGAGATTGTAAGAGCAGAATTCTACACCATGAAATTGGGCCCTGACCTCAATGATAATAACACTGAGCAATCATGCACGCACCTGCCCGTAGTTCCACGGTGAACTGCCAATGCGGTACTTGGAGCCATAGAAGTACAGACCGACTTCACTCATGACGTACTCCTGTCGCTTGGCTTCCTCCGCCATATATACACCGTCATCTGAGCAAACATCAGAAGCAAACGTTCCCAAAGTAATTGAGAAATGGAAGAGTACCTCCCAAGATTGTGACAGGCAGACAGTAACACATAATGATGCTCTACTAGAGATGGATATAGCAAGGAGCCATCAGCATTTGTCTGTAATTGTTTCCCATTAACAGTCCAGTTATCGGGATCCACCCAGCCTGGTTTGGAAGATTTACAGTAGGTAATATTTTGACTATTCCTATTATTCCTGTCGAAAAGAACCTGGTGGAATTCATCTTAAATTCCATTTGCAATATGTCTACAGTTGGAGTGCTCTTTGGCAGACCTTTTTAATTGATGGACCAATGGATAGATATACAATAAAACCGATGGAACTCTGGCTCTGATAGAGTTTATGATTTGTAAATATAACATGAGTGGGTTGGCCAATCTGCATACCACACTTCACAGACACCACTTTGCCAATGGCATTAAATAAAGAAGAAAGTACACTTATAGAGAGTCACTGGGTTTTTTGACAGGGAGTGTTACTCACCTTTGCACCATGGGTTGAAAATCATTATCAGCTCCTCAGGAAACTCATACTCATACTCGTCCTCTCCCGTGGTGGTCACAATGAACAGTTTGTAGTAGCCAATCAGAGCCTGCGAGCTGCAGAAGACCTTCAGGGTCACATTGGGGCCCTTGGCACTCTCCACCTTGATGCCCCAATCATCATGATCAGGGTTGGAGGTAACCACAGGGGCCACACAGCGGGTGCCTCTGGTCAAGTTGGCACGGCTCCCTGCCGGCAAACACAGGATATCATGGCCGTGAAAATTTGGAGTCACCTTACGAAGTAACTACAAGTATCTTGTATCCCAAACTTCAAAATTCAGCACCTGTTTTCCCTTGGTTCTACAGATGTGCCGTATTGATTTAAATGTTTCTATTTATTGATTACTGATCACATCAATTAACATACAAAAACAATAAGGTCACTTTCACACAATACCACATACGACATCAACCCTTGAGGGTGCTATTACACAAAAGCAAGGAATGCATCATGGACTTAGATGGAAAAATCAGGAAATTCCTATCTTTACAAGACATAGTACAGTGTTTTTCATTTCTCAATGGCATAAGTGTGAAGTGAAAAACAAGTAAATCAGCTAAACACAGGAAAAGTTGCACGCCTGAAACCCATACCCAACAAGGCCTAAAGTTGTCAACTTTGTTGCCTAAAGGGCTTAAGTTGTCAACTTTGTTGAACATAAAGAGAGGTAATTGGCAAACTGCACAAAAAAGAAGTCGGCAAATTGATCCAAAAATTTGGGGTCAGTCAAATTTGTCACTGTTTAAAAATTCCCATGTCTATTGCAAAATGGAGTGGAGTCCAGGGAAAATGACTGAAAATTGAACTTTATTTTTCAAGTTGAATATAATTAGATTTCAGGCATTTGGGGTATATGCAGATGTTTCAAATGCCAATAAGTTACTGAAAATGGCTGAAATTCTGTTACTTTTGGCAATGCCTGGCAATAAAACAGGTTTACTAGATGTCTCCTCGGGGAATGAAGAAAACAACATAAAATCAAAGACCACACAGGGGCTCTTCCTCCTAAAAACCATCAGGGGAACACGGCCTCACCCATTCGCAATTCCAGGACAAGCTCATCAGTGCTGGGCTTGTAATCCCTATCAAACTTGACATCGATGTGGAAAGGCTGGCCCCGACGTAAGACCAGACTGTCTACCTTGTACTTGCCGGTCTTGTGCTCCTGCTGGTTTCGATCCCGACACAGGTTCACGGACGACACCTTCAGCTGGGTTTCTAGAGGGAAAAATTGAATGCATTCAGACTTCAGCGCAGGGTCTGATGACAAAAAACGCTGGCACATCTGTATTTGACTTTGGGGAAAGAATTGATTGCTATTACACGTGGTATTTCTTTGTGATAAGTAACCATCCGGTACCAGCATTTTGTAAGCAGTAGGTTGAACAATTTCATTTTCATTGCTGCGTTGTGAAGGGGACCTCAGGTAAAATGAATGCTGTTCCTCAGGTCACCATACAAATTACAAAATATGTTTTTGAAAAAGTTGTTGATGCTTTGCTTTTCTTTACACCTTTCACAATGAGCAGTAGGCAATGAAGAGTCCACATTATACAACTGAGCAATTGAGTGTGGAATCTTCCACCATAAAAGGGAAAGTAGTGTGTTTAGTCTACACAAAGTAGTATTTGAAATTTCACTCTGTGCTTGATTTTGTAATTGTTGACCAAGATATCAAGCCCAAATAAGCAGAGGCTAACAATGAAATTTCAGAGGGCATTATTTCTAAGAACTGATGAGTTTTCCACTCTTTTTAATGCTTAAATAAACTGGTGACAACTTTTCATGCAACTTACTTTTCTCCTTTAAAGTAGGCAAGGTAAGTGGTGTTGCCGGCACATAGCGACGTCCCTGAGAGCGGACTGTTTCCCGTCTGCGTGAATGCGCGTAAGGCTCAAACCTGTCGGTGTAGCCAAAGCGGACAGGTTGTCTGCGGGTGCGTGAGGAACGGCGAACCATTTTTGCTGATTACTGCAGAAAAAAAAAAGGGAAACGAAGCACAACTTACAATCTGAAATTCGTACACACATATATTACAGGGACTGGGAGAAATGATACCTGTCCTTGACTGAGCCAAAGTGGCTTTCACCATGACTCAAATCATATTCTGGTGAATCAAATTTGAGTAATGAGGAACAATAATGTAGACCAAGATATACATGTATTCTACTTGGAAGTTTTCTGTGTAATTCAAAAATATAAAACATTGTACAGGTAGCTATTTTTCTGTATTTCATGAATTCAAAATCCCTGTGCTTTTCAAAGCACGAGAGAATTGTAAGATTCTGTGGAATTGAGCTACTACGTGGAGGAAAATCTTGTGGTAATTAGCATAACCAGTAAAACAAAGAGGTCCTAAATAAGTAATGGCACTTCTAGCACAAAAACATTTGACATTAACCTTACCTATGCCATTAAGCAACTGAATTGACAATATACAAACACAACCAAATGGAAAATTAAATACAAAGATAAAGAACGAGATACATGCAGCATTGATGAGACATCAGACAGTTCCACATACAAACAACCCAAAGTTTTAAATGTTACAACGACCATTTAAAAGTGACATGTCCTAAAAGTGAAATTTAGCTGCAAAAAAACCAAAGCATTTCCTTCAAAAACACTTTTATGGAACTGTTTCTGTAACATCATATACAGATGCTCACTTCACAACAAAGTTCATCGTGAAAACAGCCACAACTTGTTACCTGGTCAAGAATACGATAGAGCCTTTCCTACAGAAGAAAAGTACGGAGCAAGGAAGACTGCAGGACTAGCCTCACCACCTGGCAAATGGAGAAGGGACGCTATGATCAATGAACCATGTGTCTATCATGTGTATCCAGATCCTTGGGATTCAATCAGCTTTAGAAGCCCAGGATAATGGCCAAACACAATAGCCATCCCTACTCTACTGGTTCAGCTCACAATACGATACCATCACAATAATGCCTGCACACAATAGTCATTGATTAACCATGCACCCAAGCTACATGTGTATGGTCACTGAAGCACAGGAGAACTGCATGCAGGGAAAGAGGTGAAGCTAAAATGAGGAGGGGGGCTTATTCCTGAATTGCTGGCTCACTCAAAGCCATCAAAACTGAAAAACAAGCGATCATGATCAATGTTGCAAGAATTGAGGAATTAATCTAAATGGGGGTCGGAGCTTCTTATGGGACTGAATCAAACACCTGCAACGAGAATTTGAAACACAGTATATTATGCTGTTGTAGATTTATTGCTATATATGGCAACTGGTGCCCTGCGTGTCATAAGCAGCATAATCAGCGTCACTCGTAGATTGAGTCTTCATCTTACATTCTGTGTAACTACACAAAGGACGGAGAAAGATATGCAAGAGAAATGCATCAGATAGTTAAGGAAGTCTGCAGAAATGAATGATGGCAAACTAACAACTGTCTTCCCCCAAACAGGATCACAGTACATGTATATTATTTTGAACAAGCACATATTAAGCTCTGTACGAGAAATTGTATACTGAAGGAGCAAAAGTGAATTTTTTTTAAGTACCCATGGTAACTTTTTGAGCAACACTTACAAACCCTAATATGCCAATATTTTCATTTGTATTTTTTTTACCCAGAAGTTTGCTCTAAATATGTATGAGAAAACATGTTAATTTTCAGCACATTTTATTTGTCAAATACATCTGCACTGAGCAAATGGGATAAAAAAGAGTCCAATTTGTGACACCAAAGTCCAGTTTTGAATTTACAACATATTTCATCAGTACTTAACAAGACTCTGATCCTTGTACACAGATACATTTGAAGCAACATATCAAGTTATTAGCATTTTTCACCCTCTCCAAATGTAAGGAAAACTACAGGACTCTCATCTTTGGAAACTCAGAAAGGGGAGTATCTCAGAATTGTGAGGTCTTCATTTCTTTTTTTTCCCTTCTTAAAAGAGATCCTTATCTCTTAAGATCAACATCTAATGGCCTGCTAAAACTATGGTTGGCCATCAGAACAAAAGTAAAAGAGTAATTCTCTAAGTGTTAAAAATCTTATGCAACTATCAGAACACCAAATAACACATAATGCTGAATACTAAATGAAACTACACCCCTACTCATCATTAATGTGACAAAACTTTGAACAAACTCAAAGTAAAATTAAAAAACAATCAAAAGATGATATTTCTGCAAACTATGGTCGCCCATTCAAGTTGCAGCACAATGGGAGACGGAGTGATCCACACGTATTAGATAAATACTGGTAGTCTGGCCAGTGATGTGCAAGCCACAAAAAAGCTTTCAACGAAGCATGGTGTGAGTGTCTAGTACAGTGGCTTGTAGTAAGTAGTGCATGATTTGGGGATGTGATGAACTCAGGGCAGATGTGCCAGAAAAGCAACAAGTAGTAGCTGCACTGTTAATGCTGATTTTTGTATACTGGGACTTCTGAGTACCTATCTAACAGTACCAATTCAGGTTTACATAATCTACAAACATCAATGTACATCACTAAGCCTTTTATTTCATCATTTAAAATCCCCCCCCCAAAAAATAGTATGACCTCAATGCCAGGATACTTCACTATAAATAACTGAATTGCCCTTTGCATTACTATCACGAAAATGCTGAGTGATACAATTGACAGTGGTTAGCTCTCTACGGCAGACCTTTTTTTTTTCTTTCATTTCAACTGCTGTCTGAAATTTAAATAAAGTAACTTTCTACAGCACAGGCCCAGGAAGCAGCATGTCCCGAGACCACAATAGTCACACTTTCAGTCATGCATGGCTTTCATGGACCAATAGGGTACTTGCAATAGAGATTGCTTTCTGAAGAGGAACTCACAATGGAACAGGGCAAAGAAAGGCAGGGAATGGTGGGGAACTGAAAAGCAAAGTATGGGAAAGGAGACAGGGATACCATCCAAACTGAAAACAACAATTAAGGTGGCAAGGGTTGCTCTCAAGCCTTCAAGGGATGGGAGCAATACATGGAGTGACTGATACAGGCTAGTGTATATGAGGTAACCAAATTACTTGAAAGGGAACCTTCAAAGGTACCATTCAATGAAAGCCTGAAGATGGAGACAATTTTTAATTGGAAAAGGCTCATTAACCATTTAAGTTTTGTTGTTAGAAGGAATTGGTTCAATTCCGGAACAGGGATACAAAAGTGGCAATGGGAGGAGGAGACTGGATTCCAAGTAGTGGAAGCTGATAAAGGACACATCTGAGGAAAATCAGGAAACTAAAAGCATGACTTCATCAGAACTACAAAAAAATTAGAGGTCTCCAAAGGTACCCTGCACTCGGCCACATGACTTATAAGTCTTTTTCACAACATATGACCAGAAATGTTTCTAACAATCACTGGATTCAAACTGAGTACACTTTCCAACTGATATGAAGAACTACTGAAGGTAAACAGCAGATTTGGCAAGACCACATGCTCTTTTTTCCTTCCAACTCCAGCATTTGAAGTTTAATTCTAACATTTTGGGCAGCTACTCTGCGAACCTTCACACAGCAGGCTACATTAGCATGTAATAAAACAGCTTCATTCTTTCATCAACTGAAGTTGAACAGCCTTGACCCACCTAAGCTTGCCTGTCTGTTAGTAATGCTCCCCACCCAAAAAAAAAACCAAGGCCACCTTCTATGGACCAAGCCAGTGACAGGCTTGTGAGACAGCAGAGAATTGTCACTGGTAAATGATGACAGATATTTCAATAAATTAAATCCTTCAAATTCAGCTTCAGATAGTTCTAATATAACCCCATAACAGAACAGCATGCCCACATCAACACAGGTACCTGTGTGTGTTTCCTGTACTCTATGTTACTGTCTATCATCATGGCTTCCATGTAAAATGGTGACATGCTGTGTGTTAAAACAGGGTCAAATGAATATGGTAACATAAATCACTAACCACAGACAGAATGAGCAAATTTTCAATGCCAAAAGTTCACAATTGAGAAAATAAGGTGGATTTACGGAGCAACAGACTAGCAGAGAAGGACACAGGATTGGCTGGTCCCAGGAGCTGAAGGGGTAGTTGAGTACATCTGCACTTTTGAGCATTTTTAGATCAAGTGCCACATTTGGCTTATATTTATAATGCATTTTTTTGTAGCTTGAACAAACAGTAACCATAACGATATAAACAGGTTCTGGGAAAACTGAGTTGTGAGGGAGCACAAATTTAACATTCATTTATTGGACATACCAATAGCAATATCTTAAGTCAACAGAAGGCATATGATCTGAGTGGTTCTCAAATAAACTGAAAGTTAATTGTTTGAATTGTTAATGTACACTCCTTTTAAATAACAGCACAAGACAAAAGAAGATTGTTTATTACTGATTCCAATTACAATGGTTTAACCTTATTTTGGATCTCATTCATATCCCAGATACCCTCACCCAAAAAAAATCACCATTTTGTTCGAAAATACCACAAATTTACCCCCTCCCACTGCCAATGATTTTTGCTGATAAGCACTTTAACCCTCCCCCAGAAATCCCCTTCCTATGGGAAAACTGCATGATCCCCCCCCCAAAAAAAAAACCCTGGCGATGCCCATGATTACAGATTGTGGCCACTATGTTGGAAAGAGGGAGCTAATGGTTTCATCCAAATAAACATGGCCAGGAGCCCTGGCAGCCACCCGGTTAACTTGTATAAATTATGCATGTTTAATTTCTAGTTGGTCCCTGCTAAAACACTGGACGAGGGTCCACCACCTGGAACATAATTGCTGATTCCCACAGAGGCCTTCAGATTATAAACTTTCTATATTATATTACACATGGACATCACTTGACACCCTGTGAACAAACCCTATGAGACTGGTCTGTTTTCTTAGGTAACACCTCAATATTTTCACTGCATAAGTTGACATTTAGAACATTTTATTGCTTTTACATGGCTAAAAGAAACTGCAGTGAAAAATCATACAGTTATGTGCATATGGAATTCACCCCCTTTTTTATGCTACCAATGCAGCATATTCCAGTCAGGACCATGCACAACAATGCCACAAATTCACAGAGTGCTGTAGGGTATCATAGTAAACTAAACGTGTGTTTGCATTGTTTGCATGACCCATACCATGACCCCAAGCTTCTAAATCAAGAATCACTGGAGTTTAGGCTAGTGCATGTGCCCAATTTCAGATTGTATGGTTGTTGTGTGTACATGTACAATGTGATAAGTTTGCAGTAGCCCCATGCAAAATATCTCTATCACCTTCAAATCTCAATTATCATGCAGCAGAAATTGGGTTGTTCAGAACAGCTAGTTCATTAAATTCCAAACTATATAAATTTACTAGCAATAGAACAAGTTAACAGAGTTGACAGCAAAAGAAGACTTTTCTATTGACATGCAGAATGCAATGTACCTGCTTCATTGGAAAATTTAACACTTAACAAGATCTTCCTATTACAGAGCATTTTAGGCTAGGTGACCTTTGATAGAGCAAACAGGAAACTGGGCAGTGGAACAATCAGCCAATGACCTCGGCAGGTAAAATGAGTGTGAGCTATACAAGGCATGATTTCAATAAACATATGCCCCTGCATGGCACTAGATCTACTCTGCCTGCAACTCAGGCATCCATGAGGGCCCCTCAACCATTTCTTTTCCACTTTGGTGCGGGAAAAATAATAACCTTAACCATGCAATTGCTAAGGGTCAAAGGTCTTCATATTAATTCAGTTGACCTTGCACTGGCAGGGGCCAGTAAGGACTCCTTTGTTATTGTAGCTATCGTCCATATCTGATCGGGCATTTACCTGGTGCACTGCATAGCTTTGTATTTTCATTAATTATGAAACACCTCAGGCCATATTAATGAATAGGGAACTATACAAATATGTAATTATGATTATCATTATTAAAAATTGCAGAGGTTCACAGCATCTATGTTTTGCAGTCTTGAAAAACTGTTGAACCTCATAAGCTATGCCCCAAGTTTACAACAATGTAAAT